CCACCCCCACTGAAAATAGTCTCAACTGTGATATTTACATATGAATAAGCCATGACACATTCTCCCAAAGAAATGTCAGCGCTTCGCTAGAGTGTTCGGGTTTCGCTTGAAGAAAAGGTGGCAACCCTAGTTTCAGCAGTCACCAAGGAGGTGACTTCAGGGAAAGTGTGACCTACACTTCATTCTCATCCATCTTAATGGCCATAAAAGTGGCCTCAAGTAACAGACGCACCCTGGAGGACCTCACTGCATCATTAGTGTAGTGTAAGGCCTGTTGGCCACCACTGTGTGCTTAGTGGACGGCTTTGTGAGGACACTTGCTGCTGTCACAGGAGTTCTGCCAAAGAGGGATTGAACCACTTTTATTTTACTAATTTCATTTGTGGATTACAAATGCTCTTATTGGAGAACAAGAGCACCATCAAGAGTTAAAGGGCCAGACTCCAGCACGTTTGTAACTAAGCCTCCACTAGCCAGGCCATTCTGCATTAGCGTTACCTGTATACTGTGCTGTGATTTGTTCTGTTTAGAGACTGCCGTGCCAATGTTCAATACTGTGCTACCACTGTCTGTAAAAAAATGTGTTTACATTTCAATTCAAATTCAAAATTCCCATCCAAGGCTTCTTCCTGTTTTAGTAAATCCCATGCCACTGCTACTGATGTTTTAGTAATCATCAGGTTTGGGTACAGGTATCATCACTGTGGAGTGGCAGGAGGTCCCAAACAAATCCAGCTGCTCCTAGTGCTTCACACTGTTAAAAACACATTTCAGTAGCTCACACAACACTGCCGATATAGAAAAATCACCAATGTGTCTATTCAGTTATACAAATGATCCCGTGGTTGCCATCTGGTGGTATACAGTGAAAACAACATTGTCTAGGCATTTGCCAATCAAACAATTTTGTATTAATTTGATGTCTATATTAGGTCATTAAGGTGTTACTGTATCTATACTCTAAGTCATTTAATTTATTTTCAGAAATGTCTTAATGAAATGTAAATAAAACCTTCTCCAATATTTAAAAACTCTGAACCTTTTGTGTTAGAATTCTAGTGTTCCAAAAAGTGCAGTAACGTACTGCACCCCTCAAACCTTATTGTATATTATCCATGTGTTCTCCTATGATAACACATAGTGCTTTCTTCCTTTCGACCAATATACTGACAACCACTCCTATAAATTCGTGACATGATGGTATATCTCATAAAAATGTCATTTAAGAGTGATTTGTAAAGGTAGTTGTAGTAAGTTGGTCTTGACGTTAGGAGGTTATTAGTGGATAGAGATTAGACATGTGCGATTCGTTTCGTTCCGAATCAAAATTCGTACGAAATTTCCGAAATTCACAGATTCGGATGTATCCGAATTACAGATATAACGAATGCGAACGAATCCGAATTTCAGATTCCGCAGTTCGTTAGCGGTAGTCTGTACGAACGTTCGTTTCATATGAAAAGTATTATGACACCATTGCTCACAGACCCGAATGGCATTCGGGAGATCACAGGAGGATGTCAATAGCAAGAGATGTCATTTTGCGGCGAGTTTTCGTCGGGTTCGGGTGGTCGGCTTGTGGCGGGACTTTTTTTTATTTCGGCGGGCATCGAGCATCGTGATTCTTTTTAATTAAAGGAATAGTCAAAGGAATAGTCAAAGGAATAGTCAACAATTGACTCTGTTTTTTGTTCAATCAAAGGATTTTTTTCTAAAAGTGTGGTTTGTTTATTTACTTTGAATTTAACCCTTTAGTGAATGAGTAGGGGTCCAAACTGTATAAAGTGACACAGACACTAATAATATAATAAGAACATTCATAATTGAAATTATTCTCAGATATTCACAGGGCAAATGGCCCTGTAAATTGCTTATAAATAGTACCCTAAGTTTACTAAAGCACTATGTATAAATAAAAATGTCAATTTTGTTTTAAATAAAATATGGTTTTTCGCCTTTTTTCATCCATTGTTGCATCTCAGCGGCCTGTGCTCCAGTTACTTCCTTTCTACTTGCATGCTCCAGTGATGGCTGCATGCCATTTCTCAGGTCAGGCTGGCGGTGACAACAGTGAATCATGCCTGTGTAATGTGGGTTGCAACTGCCACTTGTAGCCTCCATCAGAAGCCTGTGTGACAAGGTGACAACACAGGAGCACAACTGACAGACAAGGGCAGAGTGTTGACACCCTATAACAGGAAGTGGCTGAACAAGGGTCTTCATGACAGGATATCCAGATCTCATTTAAATGAAAGCTGCAGATTTAAAAATATCTTGACTTTTGAAACTGCATGAACATGTTAAGGCTCATATGACATTTTAGTTATTGGGTTTATATACTTTAATGGAGCCATTGCTGAGGTGTCACCAGCAGAATATTAAAGCGGACCTTTACACTGAAAAATCTAATTCATAGATAGGTGTGAAATGCTGTGATTGTGAAATACTTACACTTGCAGAGCATTCACTTCCTGCTTTGAAAGGGCAAAATGACTTCAGTATGGCAAAACAATGCAAACTGGCCTTGTCCTCAGCAGAACATTGCTGGGAAATCTCATCTGTAATCTCACGAGATCTCAGGGAAAGGCATTGTCCTCCCCGGAAATGGTGTGCATGGTCACATGTCCTAGTCACATATCTAGTCACATGTGCCAGAAATCCAGGAAGTAAAGGGAGAGCTAGCAATCTGCCCTTAGTAAGCATGGCCACTGTCAGAAGACTGGGGAAGAAAATAGAAATAGGATATGGAAAGAATACAAAGCCTGCAATTATCTAGAAGTATGTGTTTGTAGATTGTCATTACTAAACATTTCTAAAGGTGCGTTTGTTGTTATTTTAAAGATTTGGGTAAAGGTCCGCTTTAAGTTTTTTAATGTCTTTTTGACTCTTTTTTTTGGCTTACAGGTAATCATGGCAGAATTGTCAATCCCGACATCTCGTTTCATTGAAGCTGAGATTGCAGGGAAGCTCAAAGTGGTTGGTACACATGCTATTGGCAAAGATGTCACTTTTAAGCTATTGATCGCAAACCTGACGACCAAGTCCAAGGTTATTACTGCCGACATCAAGGCAAGTTCAATCCTGTATACAAGGAAGGAGATCCATGAAATATTCAAGGAGAGCAGAAAAATAAGTCTTCGAGGTTGTGAAGGTAACTTCTGTCAAATGGGCAGGAATGCAAAATCTCAGCTGAACAGTAACTGCAACCAATCAGCAGTCAGAATACAATAGACTGGGGTGGTGGGGTATTCCCTCATAGCTTGTTAGCATTGATGGGGAAAGCAAAACTTTTTGGCTAGATTTACCTTTAGTCTCGCACAGTTGTACCGGCTCCTCTCCTGGACTGAAATTGCCTGTTCTGATTTTACTGCATGCTGTGATCTTCTCACAATGTGCATTAGAAGCTGCAGCAAGTGAGATAGAGCCTGCCTCATTTCCTGGCTGGAGGACAAGCAGTATCATCTAGCCCTTTCCTCTCCAGCCTGACCTTCCCTGACACCCCCCTTTCATTCATTGGATTTCAGTTATTTCAATCATGGAGGCTCAGCATTACAGGTGGTGTTACTTAGGACAGTATGCCTAGGAATGTCAACGCCTCCAGATTCACAGCCACCTATCAAGGTAGGCCTTTAATATTTGCATAACTCCCCCCAAGAGCCAGCCCTGCTGCTTGCATCAGGGCTGTGGATTCCGAAAGGAGTACTGAGCCATGACACTGTGGTGTTTTCAGGACGTTAGGTATGGCACTCTGCTGACCCCTCTCACCAGCCATAATCTTCCTACATTGCATGATGACATCACTGGGTCTAAAATAAGATATTTAATGAAAACAGAAAGGTTTTATTTAAAATTTCCATTAGCATGTTGATAAGAGGGAGAGAAGAAACCAAGAAGGGCAAAATCTAAGCTGATTAAACTAAAGCTATAAAACAGATCTAAACATGTGTGTTTTCTACATTTATGTTTTTATATACTGTATATCCTACTCAGGCATTTTATTATAGGCTGAGAAAAGATTGAAATTTGAAAAATAAAATCTTTTATTTTATGTTATTTAAAAAATTCTGTTGAATTGTATTTCTTTATCTGTACTTCCTGTCCCCAGATACACGAAAGGAAGAGGATATGGCCTCACAGTAGGGAGGGGATAGCCCAACTTTGACAGTTGTCACCGGAAAAGGTGTCCCCATTGGAACATCCACTCTACTCCTGTTTTGGTGACAACTGTAAAATATTTATTTCTCTCCTGGGGACAATGCCCCTACCTCTCCCGGTCTGACTTCTAATGTGCAAGAGATGACAGAGGCTAAAGTCAAGACGAATTCCGGTACTTCAGATAGCTGTATGTAAAAATACATGTAATACAATACAATAACGGAATGCACAACAGAATTGCTTTAATGAAGGGCAGGGTGACAACAGTGATTAGCAGTAAATGAACTTTAAAGCAAGTCCTCACTGACTTCTGTAGCTGCAGGTTCAGCTTCCCCTACTCCATACTCTCTGCATTGATTTGGCAGCCTTCCAGCCTTATGACCTCTAATGTGGACTCTGGGAGGGGGAAAATAGGAGCTAAGTACTCTAAGTACAACCTGAATGACTTCAATGCTTCTGCTGTGAACTGTTAGGATGAATTGCTCCACAGTGCCTTCAGCTGCAATGGTTAGTTAGTGGTTGTTTTAAAACTCGTTTACTGTTTGTTTGGAATATGTACTTGAATATCCATATACTAGCCACAGGTTCACTTTAAAATCTTCCTGTCAAAAATACATAACTGAAAAACACAAGGATCAGGTCTATCTTCCCTACCTTGCGCCTTTATGGCATAATATCCCACAATTAAAGGCAAAGTAAAAAGAGGGGACGAACAATGTATCTACTACTATATATGAAATGGATCATTAATGTGCTTCATGCAGTGTAGGATGGGTGTAACATAATTTTAATAATTATACTAACTGTTTCTGTTGCTTACCCAGTGAAAGAAGAACCAGTGATCATAACCTACGCTCAATATGATGGCCTCTTAACTGCAGATAATGCCATAGAGGTGACAATTGTCTGCTCCTATGAAGCAGTCAAAGGAACAATCATTGTCGAAAACAACGTTGTCCTGGATAACCCAACATTTGAAATTAAGGTATAATAATAAAATATAAACACAGAAAGACTATATTCCTTACATTTCAGATACCTGTAATGTCAACTAAATGAGATAACAGTTCATAAAAAGGAGGAAAGTAAAGATATGTTATGTTATAGGGATCATCTAGTAATGATTATTATTGCTAAGCAGTAGCTTGAAAAATGTACCTTTTGTCTCAAATTCCATGCTTCCACCAAGATGGTCGCCTCCCTACAGATACACAGAATAGAACAAGGCATAGTGAGTAAATACGACCATCAAACAAGCCAAACCATCAAACTGTAGCCTTTCTTATTACTCTGCAAACTGTCTGAGTCCAAATGCGCGCACCCAGACCTGCACCAATGTGCAGATTCGGGTAGGTGTGTAGCCTCATGAAGCTGTGTCCTCCCATAGAGATGGACAGGTGGCTGCATGCAATTACACCCTGCACCCAGGGGTGTAGGGGTGTAGGATCTACATAGAGGAATCAGGACCCGCTTCCTCCTGCTGGTGATCCCTCTAGTGAGGGGGTGTCAAACTCAGTTTAATCGAGGACCGCATCAACATTATGGTTGCCCTCAAAGGGCCTGTAAGACTATATAAATGTATCTAATCTTTATCATAATTGCCTCTGCATTCGATTATCACTGGTTTTAGTAATAACTTAATACCTAAATCTGAAAGTAGAAGTCTAGGAAATGGCCCGGTGGGCCGGATTCAGCCCCTGGGCCTTGAGTTTGACACATGTTCTCCAGTGATAACTAAAGATCTAGATAGAGAAATCAGGACCTCCTTCCTCCTGCCGGTGACCCCTCTAGTGATAACTAAGGATCTATATAAGAAAATCAAGACCTCCTTCCTCCTGCTGGTGATCCCTCTAGTGATAACTAAGGATCTATATAGGGGACTCAGGACCTCATTTCTCCTGCTGGTGATGCCTCTAGTGATAACTAAAGATCTAGAAAGGGGAATCAGAACCTCCTTTCTCCTGCTATTGATCCCTCTGGTGATGCATCCTAGAATACTATTCACATTTTGCAATCATCTAAAATAAGCACCCCCAAAATGTTTTCCTCTGTAGTTCTGGCCAACACTGTACCCCCAATATTGTACACTATTAGAGGATTTAGTTTCCCTAAGTGCAAGAAACATTAAATTGCAGTTTCCACTGCTTTGGCCCATCTTTTAGCAATGCCAAAGTCATGTATCATGTTGCCAACACCTCCAGGAATTTCAACCCTATCATACATCTTTTTGTGATCAACAAAGACAAACCTTGCCCATCAAACCTTCAGAGGAGGAGAAGGCTGTGAGGTGCAAGGAGTGAGAAGGCAGTGATAGGGAACTAGTCAGTTGTTTTTTTTTAGCAAGTGCAAAGGCACATTGCAAGTGAATAAAATACAGTTATTGAAAGGAAAAACACTGCAAGTAAGCATTTGAAATACTTGATTTTTTTCTGTTATTACCTGTAATGTTTTTAAATTGACAGAGTCTCTTTAATTTTATTCCAGGTGCATCAAAATAAGGGGTATGAAAAGTGTTTTGCTTGTTTTCTTGGGAAAGCATCAACAGCCTGAGTAGAAAAGCCTGTCCCCTGCCAGCATGCTGCAGTTCAGAACCTTTGCTCTCTGTGTGAAAGAAATGGCCTCTCTGCAGAGGTTTGATGTACTCCCTGTTGGGTCAGACCTATAGATCTGCAATAAGCTCCCTGCTGATTGGAGAGCTCTAGCTTTCAAGGGGGCATGTCAGACCTCTGCAGAGAGATCACTGCTTACACACAACTATGATGGGTTCTTCTCTGCAGCATGGTGGTGTGAACAGGCTTTTCTACTGAGGCACAACCTGGTTTCTATAGAAAACAATTTGTATATCTTTTGTTTTGATGCACCTGGTTTGTATTTAACTGACTTAAACTGAACGTTCAATTAGGCTTTACAGAAGGGAATGTTCACTTAGTAGTGAATAAAACAAAGCTAGATTCACTCTGGATGCCCAATCATGTGCAACATAAATTAAAACAATCTTCACCTACATTTTTAGAGTGACCCTTTCAGCACAAGGTCTGCACATTATAGCATAAGTCACGTGAGGTATCACATTAATTGTGATTTACTTATACATTTGGATAAATGGTTGATATGAATGTAACACTATCATATGTGGATTTATAAATTATATGTAGATTATGAGAGCTAATGTGTATGAAAAGGGTGGCTTCAGGTCAAGAGAATGCCAGACTCCCTGTATTGCTCTAAATAGCTTTATGGCAGGGCTACGTTACAGTCTCAGGTTTTTGAGTTTTCACATTGTGTTATTATAATAGCCATTAGCCATTTATGATGGCTCTAGCTTTCTAGACTTTTACTAAGTACTGTCTATGTGACTGCTAAAAGTACACGTTCTCCTTGAAGAACTGAACTCTGGAAGCAGTTCCCAAAAAAGCAGATAGGGTAAAATATCTCACTTCAAATCTTTTAAAACATTAAAAAGTCAGAGGCAGTGGTGCCTTAGATCTCACACTGCAAATATACAGCTATGAGGCTGTGGCCATAGGAGTGCCTTGGCAGAAGGAATTGCAGAGAAGGTACATTTTAAGGGCAATGCTAAGGTACAATTAACTCTTCTAGATGTTTCCTCTAACATAGCAAATCTTTACTTTTTTTAGTTCAGTTTCACTTTAAAACTAAAAACAAAGTAAAAATTATTTGGTTCTTCTGTTTTTTTCCACCCTTTTCAGCTGAAAGAACCAGCCCTGTTGAATCAGCCTGTTAAAGCTGAAGTAATATTCACCAACCCGCTGAACCAAGAGGTATCTGATATTGTGGTGACAGCAGAAGGCAGCGGACTTCTTCAGGATCCAATCACAGTCAAGTAAGATAAACATATTGTTTTCCCCTATTTGGTTACATCTTTACCTTTCTGGTGCTTCAAATTCTAGACATGTGCCCACGGTGCTATCCTTCAACACTTGGAAAGGGATATATCAAAACTGGAGCAGACAAAATCTGGAGCAATTGTCCATAGCCACCAATCAGCTTCTCCCTTTCATTTCTTTTAAATTGTAAGCCCTCAGGGGCAGGGCCCTCCTTACCATCATGTCTTGAATTATATTGTAATGTCTTTAGGGCTGTTACTGATTAAAATTTTCGTGTTCGATTAATCGAATTTTTTTAAAATCGATTAATCGATTCATTTTGATTAGTTATAACGCACATACAGGTCCAACTACATTGGTCTATACACATACAGCACAGCAATGAAGTAATTAAATGAACTAGGATCACACTTATCCAGCACGTTATGAATCTCACGTGCCCCACTCAATATGGCCGCCGCTTGAGTGGGGAAACTCAGAATAATAACGTGCTGGATTAGTGTGATCCTAGTTCATTTTGTTACTTCATTGCTGTGCTGTATGTGTATAGGCCAATGCCTTGGCTGGCGCTCATGCAGAAAGTTTTTAAAAATTTTAATCGAAAAAGATTAACGATCAATCGAGAAATGAATCGTTAATTTGCACAGCCCGAAATGTCTTCCTTATATTGTAAAGTGCAGCGCAAACTGTTGGCGCTATATGAATCCTGTATAATAATAATAATAATACTAATTTCAAAGCTAAACTGAACAAATGGAAGAGAAAAGCTGATTGGTTACTATGAGCAACTGCTCTAGATTCTGTCCGCTTCAGTTTTGATAAATTTCCCCCTCTGTATTTAGTTTTTTACAACTAAAGCTGACCATATTTGTTACAATCTGGTGGTACAATATTTTTTAGATCTAGTAAGCAATGTAAGGGCCTGTCTCACTGCAAACAAATTGAACAGATTGTTTTCTTAGGCCCTGAAATTACATATGTAGATATAAAGGAGACATGGTTAAATAACCAGATAGGGTAATTATTTACAACAAAGCTTCCCCAGCCCCCTCAGACAATAAGAACAAAGCAGGATTTTTCAGTCCTGGAGTTTGCTGAAAGAACATGTAAAAAAGTAATCAGCAATTTTACATATTTGTTTTTTAAGGTATGCTATGTGAATGGGAACATGTAACAAATATAAAGTAGGTGTTACCCAAAATTTGGCTGCAAAAGTGGAAATACAATTTAGGGCCCCTGTCTAGGAAAGGTCATCTACAAATGGTCATTGGACTGAATATGTGAGCTTTGCACGTCTAATTTGATGATAGGGCATCTATGCTTTTAAATATAGGAGCCCAATTATTCTACTTTCATGTTCAATGTACAGTTATGTCAGTAGGTGGCAGTATTATCTCAAAAAAGGGAGAAGCATCTATAAACCTACATCATTAAAAAAATATTGGTGAATAAATGTAATCATATATAATCATAAATAGGTGTATATGCAGAGCTGAAACTGAGCAGGAGAGGAGTGCAGTAGAGTATGACAGTGAACAGTATGTGCAAGAGAGGAGTGCTAAGTGTATGAGAGTGCACAGTATGTTCAAGAGAGGAGTTCGGAGGGTATGACAGTGGACAGTATGTGCAGAAGAGGAGTGCGGAGGGTATCACAGTGGATGGTATGTGCAGAAGAGAAGTGCGGAGGGTATGACAGTGGACAGTATGTGCAAGAGAGGGATGCTGATGGTATGACAGTGGACAGTATGTGCAGACGAGAAGTGCAGAGGGTATGACAATGGAATGTATGTGCAGAAGGTTTTACAGTTGACAGAATGTACAGGTGAGGAGTTTGGAAGGTCTGACAGAGGGCAGTATGTGCAGGAGAGGAGTGAAGAGGGTATGACAGCTGACAGTGTGTGCAGGAGAGGAGTTTGGAAGGTGTGACAGCAGACAGTATGTGCAGCAGGAGAGGAGTTTGGTAGGTATGACAGTTGACAGAATGTACAGGTGAGGAGTTTGGAAGGTGTGACAGCAGACAGTATGTGTAGGAGAGGAGTTTGGAAGGTGTGACAGGAGACAGTATGTGTAGGAGAGGAGTTTGGAAGGCATGACAGTGGACAGTATGTACAGGTGAGGAGTTTGGAAGGTATGACAGTGGACAGCATGTACAGGTGAGGAGTGAGGAAGGTATGACAGTGGACAGTATGTGCAGGAGAGGAGTGAAGAGGGTATGACAGCTGACAGTATGTGCAGGAGAAAAATGCAGAGAGTGTGACAAGCAGTGTGTGCGGGAAAGAAGTGTGGAGGGTATAACATTAGGCGTAGCATTAGTGGACAGTGCAAAAAAGAATGGTGCATCATTGGTGTCATCAGAGCTCATAGTAGGCTGGCACCAATGTACAGGAAATCACTCCATCCAGGGTGCCCTGCCTGGAAGCTGTGTCCTTAGTGCATGCTCAATGACAGATTATAACATAAGCAATCCATCCATGGGACTCCCAGTGAGATTGGACCTGTGATGGATCAGCCCAATGACCCAGCATCCATAAACGTTCAGGTGTGCATCAGTATAGCAAGGTGCCGCAATGAAACGAACATTGATGCTGAATGCTTTGGCTGAAGCTACACATGAGATTTTTTGTAGCTCAGCCGTGCTACAAAAATCACTAACAATTAACTGCTAGAAGTAGTGATTGATGACAAACAGATTGATCAAATGCTTTTCCTGTGGAGTAAACCACACAAGTAACATGTAATAGCAATCAATCGTGCATGATTGCACAATGATTCAATTAAGATGCTCATGTATGCTAATTGTGTAGATTAATTCATAGGGAGCCATTTAATCCAATTTAATGATCTGTTGCTATTCTTGATTAATTTCTAATGACTTTAGTAGCCTGATCGAGCAACTCTTACCCTATTAATCTATAACTCCATGGGAAGCCACACTTACAGGAATATTACAATACACTGCAACACATGTATTTCTTATAGAAGCTAGGTACACTAAGATCCTGCACTAGTATGTGTACTCTGACTACTGTAGGAATGTGCTTATTTGTAAACCCATTAGTTCATTTATACTATTATACTTAATATAATTTGTTTGTTTTTTTATATTTTTAGGGCAGGCTCAGTGAAGCCCAAGGAGACCATATCGATCCCTCTTATAATAATTCCATACAGATCCGGCCCTAAACATTTGTTAGTTGATCTAACAACCGACAAGTTCCAGAATTCAAAAGGATTTGTAGAGGTGGAAGTCCGTGAGCCAGAAAAAGATGGAAAAGATGAAAAGAACTCATTACCACCACAACTAACATTATGATGTTATTTATCATTTAGATGATGTTAGTGTTCCCAGCACATAATGTTCGGATATAATCCTAGAATTGGATAATCATTGTTACAAAAAACATAACTATAAACTAAGTAAATGCGTCTACTATGGGTATATTTAACCTGAATAATATGCATTTCTCTGTTAAATTATCAAATAAAATGTATTACTTCCCATAATTTTTGCCTTTTTTCCCTTGTTTGCCAATAAAGGGTGTACGTGTTTACATAACATACACCGATCAGCCATAACATTATGACCACTGAGCAGTGTTGTCACAAGGAGGGTTCGGGGGGTGCGGCCCACACCCGGGTGTCACCATTGCCGGGGTGACACCAAAATTACTTTTTTCAATTACAGTAACATGTTAACAGTGGCGTCACAAGGGGGGTGCGGCCCGCACCCGGGTGACACCATTGGAGGGTTAACACCAAAACAACTGACAGTCATTGACCGAGAGCCCGACACTGTCAGGACCCAGCGGCATTCCTCATCCCGTCTGGTGAACGTCCCCTCCTCTCTTTGCCGGCATCCATCAGCAAGATGGCCGTCGGCAGGCGTCAATAACATGACCGTGCATGTGCGATGACGTCACGGCTGGGTGTCACCCGGTCTCTGCTCCGGGTGTCACACGCCCTCGGATGACCTTAAGACCCCATTCACACTGAGCGATTTGTAGCGCAATTGCAGCTCCAAAATCGCTCAAATATCAGCTCAATGTCGGTCAATGTAACATGTCTAATGCATTTCAAGGAGCTGTTCACATCTCACAGCTCAGCGGAGGGGCGGGCTTCCGATGACCACAATGCTGAACGGGCAGTGTGCGTGTGCGCACACCGGCCCCTTCGGCATTTGTCTCCCGAGCATGCCACAAACCAGCCGAAAATCCTACGATTTATGGCTGGTTTTCAAACATGCGCTTTAGACAAAAGACGTGCGACCGTACAGTAGAAACGGTCGCCCGCCTTCCATACACTTTGCGATTATCGTACGATCGGGGGATTTCCCGCGATTATCGTACGATAATCGCACAGTGCATGGGCACCTTAAGAGTTATGCCAAACTTGCCATTCAAAGATCACACACAGGAAGAAACATCTACAGCACTCTACCTTCTCTTTGAAAAAAAACACACTCTAGACTCAAGCCAGTCTAAATGGCTCTCGCTGATTACTCAAACCTAAACTCCAGGATTAGCAATATTTTATTTAAATAAGAGGCATGTGCCTTGTTTCTTGAATCTTGGTGTGCTTTGTGTATTACTTCAAGATCTGTGCATGAATTCAGTGTGAAACTTTTCCTTTGTGCAGGAGCTTCCTGTAATAAAGACGGTCACTGCTGCTCTCTCTCCTTGTGCAGGGTCACTGGTCTTGTATCTGCACCCTCCTGTAGTTTTCTGCAGGTAGCCTGTAGAGGGGTGGGTAGGGTTGCCACCTTTTCTTCAAGCGAAACCCGAACACTCTAGCGACACGTGGACATATTTTTTTAGGAGAATGAGTGGCGGCTTATTCATATGTAAAAGGAACCACCCATTAATATGTAAATATCACAGTTGAGACTATTTTTAGTGGGGGGCCAGTAGCCCCATATCTTAATTTTGGTTGCCCCTGTCTGCCTGACATCTTGTGTCCGGGTTCCTGGTGCCATGAAACCCGAACACAGCATTCAAAACCCGAACTGTCCGGGTGAATCCTGGACAGGTGGCAACCCTAGGGGTGGGGCCTGCTGGGTCCCTCCCTTAGCTCTGCACTTTGCACAGGCTATGTACAGCCTGTGATTATGTCACCACTATGTTTACAAAGTAAAGACTCCATTGGCAAAGGCATTTGATGCAAAGAGGATTTATATGTTTTCTTGCTATTGTGGAATATATTTAAATGAAAGTTTATGTCCCTGAAGTTCAGCTTTGAATTCACCTCCTCGATCTGCATAACAGGATCATGCACAACCTATTTTGACCACCATAGCATTTATATTCCTACAGCCAATCCCTCTTCTACACACTGAGAGATGCCTGTCCAATGAATAGGAGCCCATCTCTTAACAGATTGTGAGTAAAATGCTAGTCTCTAGATCAGGATTCGGCAAACGCTGGCCCTCCAGCTGTGGTGAAAGTAAAAACGACAGGATGCATCTGTCTCTGGGAGTCATGCTTGTGGCTGTAAGGATCTTGCAATGGCTCATGGGATTTGTAGTTCCACAAAGCTGGAGGGCCGGAGTTTGCCCACCCCTGCTCTAGATGCATCCTTATGGGTGTGTCTATCAACTCTGCACACCCAGGGCTTCCGTTCACTCTGATAACTCAAGGCTGGCCCCAGTCCTCTACCACTAAACACAAAGTACTCCACCTAGATATGTAAAGTTATCCAGTTATCTCCTTAAAATTAATTTTATAGAAAAGAAATGGGCAATAGAATATTACATCTCAAGTAACAGGGAGATATAAAGGAAAAGCATGATTATATTTTTTTATAAATGTAATATGTATGTATATATATGGGGATATAGGAACAAAGATACCGGTATATGAAATAAGGCTTCTCACATCAATGTTGTTATATTATATATGAAACCAAAGAAAATCTTATTACATTTTAAAAAAAGAAAAGAAATGGGCAAAAAGCAGATGTCAAATTCTAGCTCTCGTCTGCTTACCTATGCTGGAAAAATAATGGACAACAAAGAAACCTTTCTGTACTCCAGCTTCATTGTTTTTTAGTTGTTTCTGTTCTGATTAGCCTTAAAGGTGGCTTTACTACTGCCGTAGGTGCTTAGACCATTTATCCAGTACCACCTTGCTCTGCTTTGAAAAGTCTCAAACCCAGTCAGGATCACTCTGCAAGAAAATCATTCTAAGCTGTCAATTCTTAGAGGAGCTAACATATAATATCATATACAAAATTTCTGAGCATGAGTCCACACTTCTTCCAAATTACGGGTATCTTGGGGTAAGGCTTACCGTATACAGAATGAGTGGAAACACAATTGGCAGGACACAGGGGCATCCCCAGCCATTTTGCCGCCTGAGGCCAGGGCGGTGTGGAGGTGTGGGGTGCTGCCTCTGCATCATCTCCCCGCCCAGCTCTGGCACAGTGACGTCACTGGTTGTCAGGAGCTGAGCGGGACAACAGCCAGAGTGTCCCAGGTTGCTAAGAGCCAGGTGGGGATACATATATGGTTGTTACACATCTCCCTGTCTAGCACTTAGCAACCTGGGACATTCTGGCCGGAAAGGGGGCGGCAGACACACTGCAAACATTGTGCAGCAGAGTGACCATGCCACTCTGTCTGCTACCCCCAGCCACGTGACCCAAAGAGATGCCTCCTGAGGCAACAGCCTAAGGCTGCCTAATTATAAGGACAGCCCTGAGGGTACATACCTGTGTGATTGTGTCTTAAAAGTCCTTCTGCTAGGTTACCTTACATGAGTATTGTCTCTTCACACAATTCTTTTAGTAAACAGGTATACTGAATGCTCTTTACTGACTTAAAGAAGAACTCCAAGAATTGTTCTTTTAAACTAACCCTTGAAGTGGAGCTACCCACGTACTGCAAAGGTTACGTGCTCGTTTGTGTCCAAGCCGGCAGTCCTTCCAGTGTCTCTCCCTCCTCCGCAGTGGTCTAAGGTCCAGTAAATCATTACCTCTATACACAGTGGATAGACACAAGGAGCTGAGGAAGATATACCCTTGCAGTACAGGGGTAGCCCCACTGCAAGGGTTAATAAAAAGTTTTCCTTGAGTTATTCTTTAACCATCGACGAGTCAAACCATCAACACTGCGAGTGCAGCTCCTCCTACCACTGTTTACACGAAGCAGAGCGGAGAACTGATCCCTGCTCCCTGTTCTTCTTTCTGAAGATCTCTGGAGAGGCGGCCAGCGAGGAGAGAAGTACACGGCAGGGGGCGGCAGGGGGGAAGGACGGACCTGCAGTCTTATTATAAGTGATCTTGGCGACATCGACGAGATTACTTGTAGTCGAACAAGTGGCTTCCCCACTCTACATTTAGCCCTGCCTGCCCAAAGCAGGGCTAAATGTAGAAAACAACTACCCACCCGTGCCTGGAACTGCATGTCCCGTGCATCAGGATATTCTATACCCCTGACGCCTCTCTGCACCCTGCTGCCCCGAGGCCGGGCCTCGGTGGCCTTGTTGGAAATCCAGCCCTGTCCATACCTCGGTAAGGACATGGATGGGAGGAACAGTCTGCAGGAGCCAGAGCATTGCACCCCCGATCTACTGATCGTGGTTGTAATGCTTTACTGGCTCCTATGCAAAAACATTATGAATGCAATTTTTTTCTTTTATGAAGAAGTGCACATTCATTATTTTTCTGCAAAGAGTGGAATTATTCTTTAACGATGAATCAGAATATGTTATCGGTGAAAAATTAAAATGAGTTATGCATTGGCAGACAAGATAGAAACAAGAACGCTGTGTGCTATTGTAAGTAAATTATACTCTGAATCATTGCACAATAGCTGGTCCACGCAGAGAGAAAAACCAGGCAATAGTCATTGGACGTGTTGAAACAGAAAGAGTCCCTTCCCTGCAGGCTTTTGGTGGGGATACCAGCAGCATGTCACAAGGAACTGTTACCAGTGAAAACAATGTATGAGAGCTCCATCACACCCACTGCATGAACCAACTCTCTTGGCATCCAGACAAGAAAACAATGAGGCTGATTATGGATCTTTCCAGAGAATTCCAGCACAGGATATACAAGATCCTAAAACATCAAAAGGTAGGCAAACTCCGGCACTCCAGCTGTACTGAAACTACAAATCTCATCATATATCTGCCTCTAGGAGTCATGCCTGTGGCTGTTAAAGTCTTGCAATGCCCCATAAGACTTGTAGTTGCACCACAGCCGGAAGGCCGTAGTTGGCCCACCCTGCATGACTGAGTACATTGCTCACTCTAACACTGTACAAGCAATTTAAAATCCATGGAGAGATACATTTCATATCAGAATACTGCCCTATTA